GCTGCTTGCTTTTAAGTGATCGCTAATCTATAATTCCTCTTTAGTTTATCACTCAGGTCTACTTTATAAGATGACTATTTACGAGGCAATATGAATGTTGGCTGGCCTTGAATAGTTATAGCAGTTCATTTCAAGTGTCCCATTGTTATAAATACGTTTTGCTCTCCATTCAACTCATCACAAAGTGGAAATAAAGAGAACAATTAATTTTTCTCTATAGCTTTTCAGTTATGTGAGCTTGTCTCATCTGGGCTTTCACCTCCCTGTCAGCCTACAAGTAAACTCTCAACTCGTAAGACACCCAAGAAATAGGTGATTTCTTTCTGAGATTCCAAACATTAGGGTGAAAAGCATTTGATGGGTTTGACTCTAAAGTGGAAGAAATGTCTACTGGGTATGTATTCAAATACAAGAATTAAATTTCAGCACTGCAAAAACAAACACTTCTGAGATTTTTCAAATACTCTTTGTCTTTTCCCCCAAATATAATTTGCATTTGCTAAGTTTCTTTTGTGTGGTTTTTTTTTTAACATCTTGACATTTGAATCTCACGAGAGTCTATTAGGTGTTCCCTAATAAATTATTCTAAATCTCATTAATTTCTTATCTGCAAGGTGCTTCTTTTAACGAAAGAGCATTGAATTGTAAATCCTTTTCAAAGTATTTATTAGGAGATATTGCTTTGTGACCTTTATGGCCATTATTTTGGCAGAACTGTTATGAAAATAAACTTAGTTCCTAGAGGGTTTAAACAGAAAGAATATACTCAGGCTAACTTTCCATCTAAAATCATCCAAAATATGCTCTAAGGATAGAGAAGAGCCATTTTGCTTAGAAAGTCAATCTTTTTTAATTCTGCCCTTTTTTTATCTGGGTAGACTAAACAAATAAGTCACCACAGGCACTGTACGTTTTTTCTATTCCTTTCTCTTGGGATGAAATATGAAATAATCTACAAAGTAATTTGATCCAGCAATTAAAAACAAGGACATGAATTACACTAACAACTGTCACAAGGAAAGAATTAATTCCCTCATAACACTGCTTGATGTTACAGACCCTGGGTGATTACGAACAGATTGTAATTGGAAAAGAGCCAGACCAATTCAGGTATTTCCAAAACACAGGGGTAAGCCTCAACTCACAAACAGAGAACATTTTTACTACCCACAGGAGTATCTTTTTGCAGTTGGCACTCAGATGTTTATCTAGTGATTATTCAATGCACCCAACGATGCAACCATCCAAGGTACTACACGTGGCCATGCCACCGATCCTTGCTTCTGAGAGTTAGCACATCATTAATGGAAAGCAGACCTTCTGGAGGTTGTGTTTCTAGAAATGATGTCCCCCTGAGTATGGATTATTAGCTACTTGCGTTTAGCAGCATAGTATGTCATTCTAAATAATGGACATTAGCTAGCTGGTGTGTCATTGGGCAAAGTAAGTAGAGGACAGTGATGCTTGCTGCTTAGTGGGAGAAATTTTATTTTCCCAATGATGTGCAGATTTTATGGCCCCTTTCAAATACTTCATCATTTCTGGTCTGAGGCAAAGCTCTTTATTGAAGAAAACTGTTGTACCCTGATATAATGGAAAGAACTTAATATGGAAAGTCAGAGGATCTAGGTTTTTTTTTCTTTCTGCTTATAAAAGTACATCATAGAAAAAATGTACAAAAAAGTACATAGTATAAAAGTACATAATATAGAAGTATATAATAATTTTTTAAAGCATGGTAAAAGACAAGAAAAAAATTCTTAATAATTAATCTACCCAGGGATAACCCCTATTAACATTTTGGAATGTGTTTTTTTTTTTTTCCTAGTCTTTTTTGCATTTTTTGAGGTTGGGATCATTCTTTTTATACAGTTTATACCCTGTTTTGTTTTATTCTGTTTGCTTAAAATTTGTGGTGTATTTTGCCATGTCATTGAAAATCCTGACATATAATTGATAACAACTGCATAATAGTCTATCTTTTGGATGTTTTAGAATTTATTTCAACAGTCTCCTGATGTTGTCTTCATTTTAAACTACATATTTGTACATAAATCTTTGTCTACATTTTTTGCCATTTCCTTTGGATGATTTTCTAAATGGGGAGCACCTGGGGCAAAGCATGTGAGCATTTTTTGCAAGTTTCTTTCTCTTTTTAAAGAGAATTTTATTCTTCTTTCTGATTGCAATATGGACTCATTGCAGAAACAAAGAAAAACCATGACACTTAAAAAAAAATTACCACTGTTTCCCCACCAAGTCCGTCCATCCATCCCTCCTTCCTGCCTTCCTTCCTTCCTCCTCTTTCCATGGAAAAGCGATGGAATTGTATTATTAAAAACAGTTTCATAATTTGCTTTTCTTGTCTAGCAATATACTATGGACACAAAGAACATAGTCTTTTTAAGGCTGTTGATACAGGTAAAACTGATGTCCAGAAAGGCCCCCCAGTGCCACTCTCATCTGTGGGACTGAAGTGACCATTCATTCTATCAGCGCCATCACCAAATATGGCCTCCGCCGCAATCATTGCTACTGAATGGTAACTTATTCTAGCTTTCTATAATGTCTTTTTCACTTTGGTCTCTTGAGTTCCCTCTTTTGCTATTTGTTACCACTTCACCCATTTACTCATGAAGTCTTATGTATATATCAATTTGTATGAGCTTTTGGTATGATAAGTAGTTTTGACCTTTTTCATTATTGTGGCAAATACTTTTCCTTGTTTCTTGTTTGTCTCTTAATTTTATTTATTTTTTTAACTGGGCTCTTAAAATTGATTCAGATTTATTTTCTTTGCATGTAGTACTTTTCTCTTGTTTTCAAATGCAGACAATCCCTCCACATACAGGAACAGGTAAATATTGAACTTTTGTTTCCTCTTCACAGTTTTTATTTTAATATACTTGTGATTTCTTATGGAATACAGCAGAAGATTAGGATCCACATTGAATTCTGTTTCCAAATATTCAACCCTTCCTGTTATATCACTAGGGTTTTTTTGGTTTTTTGTTTTGTTTTGTTTCGTTTTTGCATGTATAAAGTTCTTCTGTGTAGAAGAGTGTCTGTGCCTTTCCTTCTAGACTGTATGGTTTCTGCATGCAGGCCAATTTATTGTAGTCACCTCATGCCTTCTCTGGGCCCCTCTCTTTTCAGCCTAATGTAGTTTATGGAAGCTGAGGAGAATTGGAATTTCTCTATGGAAGTAAAAATCCAGCCCATGGTAAACGCAGAAAAATGTGTTATCCTACCTCAAAAATCCTGTAGATGTGAAAAAAATATTATGAGCTATGCCTGAAAAGAAGATAGACAGAAATATCAAATCTATGAAATGTAATTTATGTAGAAAGAAAAACCTATATGAGATCTGATTGAATTCTAGGTATGTAGTACTTTCCTAATGAACAGCCATGGACGTTTAATTTTATGTTAAATGGTTAATCATAGGGTTTTAATTCTCCTTATTACGGTTTTAAAAGAAAATGCAAATGTTACGTGTACTAGGTGTGCAAACAGTGGAGAGAATATATGTTAGGTTAAATTCCTCCAGAAAAAGAGGCTGCTTCATTAACTCCAGCTTCCAAAATATAAGCTCAGAAGTACTGTTTTCTTAAAGGTTTTGATTTCTGAAAACTTAAAGCATAAGGCAATTTTGGATTTCCATCGTGAGTCTTTCTCTCTTTTAATGAAACATGAGAGCGACTACCTTTAGAGACAGGTCAGAGGAAATAAACAGCTTTATTTCCAAAGGGATAATGCCTGATTGTGTAAGGGCAAGACCAAAGGGACAGATGGAGGGGATCGGGGGAAAAGAAATTGTCCTCGGAAAGGTACAGTCACAAGTCTCCAAGTTTGCTTAAGGAGGTGATGTCTCAGAACTATGGCGGCCGGTGATACGTGACCAGAGGCCATTAAAGGTGCATAGCCTGGGTCAGAATATCATCTGGAGTTAGCACATTCTGGTAATTAACAATTCATTCTTGCTTATTATCCTCAAGTTAGCAGATTTCTCCTGAAATCACAACTAGTCGTGATAAGATAGTACTGCTAATGCCTTGCTCTGACATTATTAAAAACTCTAATTCATAGTTTGGGTAACCTAGCTGTGTCCCCTGTCATAGTATTAATGCAGAAAGGGGAAAATCTGGATTCAAATTTCCTGCGTCGTGAATATTCAAAACAAGAGCAATATTGCTGGGCGCCTGGGTGGCTCAGTGGGTTGAGCCGCTGCCTTCGGCTCAGGTCATGATCTCAGGGTCCTGGGATCGAGTCCCACATCGGGCTCTCTGCTCAGCCGGAAGCCTGCTTCCCTCTCTCTCTCTCCCTGACTCTCTGTCTACTTGTGATCTCTGTCTGTCAAATAAATAAAATCTTAAAAAAAAAAAAAAGCAATATTGCTGCCAATCAAATCGGCAAACCTGTTCTGATTCAAAGACCAGATTTTTGGATTAAAAATTTGCAATTGGATCAGGTCTTGGAGGATGCAAAGCTATGTAGAACAAGCAGTATTAAACATTTCAAAAGTCTAGCATTGCCACTCGGAGGTTTTCCACAGTGGCTTCTGGAACCACAGTCACCTTTGAAGTGTTGGAAGCTATGTGTCTGAGTGGCTTCTTGTGGGGACACATTTGACTTCACTGAACAGTACAAAACTAGTAAAAATACGCATCTGAACGACATTGCGGGTACATCACTATAATACTCACCTGCATTTCCCAACTCTGTCCCCAAATTCACAGAGGGACTATTAATAAGTATGTTTATAATATGGATGAAAGATACTATAAAAGACAGTCTAGCTTCAGACACACTCTTGGGACAGAATCTGTTTGAAATCACCCCAGACAGAAGGTGGTCATCCCTGCACTCCCAAACGGCAATTACAGAAACCACCAAGTAGTTATAATACACTGTGAAATGGGACCTTTTTTTTTTTCTTTTTAACAAAGAGCCGATGTTTCTTTTATAACCGCAACCACTTCAAACTGAGTTTTCCTTGGAATTCCAGATTTAAGATGGCCTGTGGTTGAAGGAAGCACGTCAGCGTATGTTTGCAGTAATAAAAATCTTCCCACTATCTAACTTAAATCTGCTTTGTCCCCTCAAGGTAAGTCTGCCCGCTGCCTCCCTGGGGCCCTTGAGTGTCTAGAGTGCTGTGGCGCTTCTCCCGGAGATGAGAATATGGCCTGGCTTTATCTTTAGAGCATCTTTAAAATATAGATTACAAGACAGAGGCTGACTACAGAGCGCTGCAGTGTGGTATTTAGAGAACGCTGAGCTCTGCAGACAGAAGCCTGCCGCTACATTAATTCATCTCGCACCATTTTCTGTTCTCATTATAATTTTATCTTAGGAATTAATACATTCTGCCATTTTCTATTCTGGTTACAATCTAGAGAAATCCGTGAGGCTGAATACATTTTGTACCACTTTGTTCTGCTTGTAATGTTAAGATGTTTTCAAGAATGGATTAGTTCAATGCCACTCTCCCTACTTTATTTTGAGATTAAGAACTTAAACAGTCAGGAAACTTCATCTGGCGTCAGTGGTAATGTGTTTCTAGCACAAAGATGTTATGAAAAAGAGAAAGCAGGGAAATCGGTTTATTGGTCTTTGGTTTGGCTTTTGTTTTTAAAGGTGTGTTGATCTCCCAGAAATTTTAAAGACAACTTGGAAAAACTAATTTTAAAAATAACCGAGGTCATATTAGTCGGATGACAAGGCTTTTAGAAAAAAGATAACTTCTCATCATGAGTCACACTTTTTCCTAAGTAAGCAAATAAAAATTCCTCCATCACAATTACATTAAAAAAATTTTTTTAAAAGCCCTAATAGTTGAAAGTACACACACAGACACACACACACACACACACACAAGAACATACACAAAAATTCTAAGAAAGATTCAAAATTAGACCAAAATGTAAAAGTATCCTCTGAACACTATAATCACTGAAGTGGCTAAGCCATTTTGAAGAATTATGTAATAATCAAGGTCACTTGGCCACCAAAATCAAACTGGTAAAAGTGATTTTTTTTTTTTAATGTAGGATTGGAAGGGGGTGCTCAAAATAATGGGAAACCATCCAGTTTGGGGTAATATGACATTTTTGCTTTTTTAAATTAAAGGACCAGTCCTTGTTCTGACTGAAAGTCCAAGTTTATAGTGAGGACCACAGCCCACCCTTCAAATATGAGCCAAGACTGATGATTGGCCAGGGGGAGGTATGCATGCTAACTGCAGTAGGACGAAAACTGCCAGCTTAAGCTATTTCTCATCCTTTACCTGCTGGCCTTCCCTCCCAGGTGCTCTAGACCCTTCCATGGGCTCCCACTTGTTTCTCTCTTACACTCAACCACACACATTTGTGACATTAGTTGGGGTGGGGTGCATTCTATGTCTGGGAAACAGTAAAGCTAACTTACTCCAGTACCTGTAATCAAATTAGCTGATTTAGCCACAGACACATAACTCAGGTAAAGGCCCTTACCTCCACCTGGCTAGCTAGTTCCCCTCTCCCATGCCCCTCAGTGGCTATTTCGGATTTTAACCCTCTTTAAAAGCTCCTTCCTTTCCAGTTTCTCCTTGTTCTCTCCAGAAAACCATAACTTCTTTTTGCAGAAAGAAAAAAAGTCATCATAGGATTCCCCTATGCAACACCGTACCACAAATGTGTCTAAATCCATTCCTTTCTTCTCGGCCCTGCTCCCTTGGCAGCAGTCCAGGCAAGGGGTTAGGTCTCCTTCTTGTGTCTGGGGCAAGTCTCAGTCCGTGTGGCCAGTCTCAACTATGGCACCACCTCCAAGGCTCTCTCCATCAAGTCCCTGGCTCTCATTCCTGAACATTTCCACCTCCCTTCTGCTGTGCAAGCTGACCCCTGGGTAGACCCAAGATCTCAGGCCTCTCAGTTCCTTAAAACATAATACCAAACAAATGTCTAAATGGTTTTAATCCCAAATATCACTCAGATTACCTCTTATTACCCTTTACAGCCTAACTTCCTCTTCTCCCACTTATTTCTGACCCTCTTTCTACAGTGTGGTTTCTGCCCCACCATCCCACAGAAACTGCTTTCCTGACCCTAGAGTCACAAATGGCCCCAGTGTTCATGTCTGATGGACACTCCCCAAGCTTCCATCATTATCTGAATTCTCTGCAGCCTTGGCACTGCACACTCCTTCTTCCTGCTTGAAGCGTTTCTTTGACTTCGGGGACAGTATCGTCTCTTAATTCTGTGCCTTCATCTGCCTGGCTATTCTTCTCAGTTTCCTTTGTTGGTACTTTTGCTCTCCCCTAAAATGCTGCTGTGCCCCAGGGTTCCATTGTCAGCCATCTGGTTCTCTTTCTTTCTCTGTGCCATGTGAATGAACTCGCCCAAATCTATGGCTTCTCTATTTCTTGTATCTTTATAACTTCCAAATCCAAGGTTTTTTTTCCAGCCTGTCTGCTGAGCCCCTGACTCACTGCCTCCTGTGTCCCTGTTTGTGTATCTCAGGATCAGCTCGGCTACTCTCATTGACATCACCACCCCTTCTTAAGTCCCAGCCAGGTCTGCACTGGCTGACGTGTGGAGGTAAGATACGGGAGTTCATGTCGCTTGTAAACAGCTCTCCAAGTGATGGTATCATTTTTCATAACCGGGCAGATAAGAAACAAAAGACAAAAACAACCCCAAATGACTCAATTTCTGTTATTTGTCAAGCCCTTGGATGAGAACGTATTAGAATTTCCCCCAATTAAATCAGGCTGTCTTACGAATAAGCTAAAAATCAATGAGCTCACCACGCATGTTATCACTTTCATACTGAAGCCTACCCATTCCCATCCCCTTTACCTGGTAACTTTGAAACTCTAAAGTCCCTTGTTCTCAGAAGGTGAAGTTAGCCAGAATTTTCAAGTTAGATTTTACCTGGTGACACTGGGACAGGAGCAGGAGATAGAATCAGAGAATCATTCCAAAGATCAGAAAAGAGTTAGCATGGCAGTAGTCTTTTTTAAGAGTTTTGAAGTAAGACTAGTTTTCCTGTCAGGAAACCAAACAATAAAACATCTTAAAATCAACTCTCAAGACACTTAACATCCATTTTATACTCAGGGAAGATTTCAACCAGCTACAAGTGTATAATTTAAAAATTCAGCTTATTCAGCAGCGTGAATATGGAGAAGGTAATTGTATGTCACCAATTTAGAAACATCAATTGGAAAAGAAGTTATCCAAGCTCCCTCATGGTATTTAGGATAAGGTTAAAGAGAAGGAAACATCTTTTATAAATATGTGAAGAAAAGAGGCTAGGGTTATTTCTATCCACTGTTTATATTTAATTGCCTCTTTTATTCTAAAACTACACCATTGTTGCTATTTGAGGCTTAAATGCAACCTACAATAAACAAGGAAATGAGCAAACCCTGCCTCTAAAGTGTCCAACTAAAGTCGATTTTAAAAACTCTCCAATGGAGGTTCTTCCAAAAAGGGAGCATTGACTTTTGTTGCCTGGATAAGCAATTTTTTTTTTTTAAGATTTTATTTATTTATTTGACAGAGAGAGAGAGAGATCACAAGTAGGCAGAGAGGCAGGCAGAGAGAGGGAGAAGCCGGCTCACTGCTGAGTAGAGAGCCCGATGCGGGGCTCAGTCCCAGGACCCTGAGATCATGACCTGAGCTGAAGGCAGAGGCTTAAGCCACTGAGCCACCCAGGTGCCCCTGGATAAGCAATTTTTAAAACAAGCCTACCATCTGAAAGCACTCAGACTCAATGGTGATGTGGGAAACAAAGGCAGAAGGAAATGTAGATGAATAAATATCCTTACAACCTGCAACCCATTGACAAACACTTGAGGCAGGCGGAGTATAAAGTTCCTCTGGGACGCTCCCAAATGTCTTAATGCCTTGCTCGAGGGAAAAACAACCTTAGTTTGAGGATAGGGAGGCCTTAGGTATCCTGTGAGTCTTCTTTAGCATATTAAAGTCCTTTCAGAACTTGTCTTACCTTTCTTCTCCCAACCCCAAAGTATAAAATCAGGTGCCCCTCATAATTCTGGGGTGGCCAGGAGCAGCAGATGGCAGCAGCCCTTTCTGCCCATGTGTTCTGTCCCCGTGCTTTAATAAAACCACTGTTTTGCACCAAAGACGTCTCAAGAATTCTTTCTTGGCTGTCGGCTCTGGACCTCACCCCGCCAAACCTCACCTATATTCCAAAACTACGTCGCATGGTACCCTCCAAAGAAGATACTTGATTCTCGTTGGAAGTGGAGTAGCTGATTTACCATTCCTTCTTCTGTGGACTGAACACAGATGGGACTTTAATAAAATATAATTTTAAATGACACTGGCTATTAAAATGTTATTCCGTGTGAACGCAAGACTTTGTGACTGAATGTAGGAACAGACATCTTCAGGCCTTCCGTCCATTTTTCTTAAATTTCTAAAACCAGATTTTCCACCGCCTAGAAGAAGAACAGCCCTTCGTTGCTCAGGGACCACTGTTAGCAGTGCAGGCGAAGTAGTTCACTCTCCCATCTCATTCAATCCCTGTTCTCTGTGGCACTGGTGACAATTAACTCTAATTGTAATGGCAGCCAGTCTGATGGAGACTCTGGGCTGTTAGGGATGAAGCTGAAACCACTATACACTCATTTCCCCAAAGACCATGGACCTTCAGGGGGTAATGACTTTGTCATTATACTCAGAGCCAAAATTCAGCGGATAGACTAAAGGTTAACAGTTCTATTTCCCATTACCCAGCAGCCCAGGCTTGTCGTTCCTATTCATGTTGTGGTAGTCTCAAATAAGTCCTGTGTCAAATTTCTTACTGCTTCAAGCTTAGAAGACTTTCTTTTTAGTGGGAAACAGCCTTTCTCCCTCCTCTCCCCCCACCGAAAAATAAATTTTAGGAAGGGTTAAATGAGGGAAAGTGCATCAGAGCTAGGCTAAAAGATAGTATAAGATTTTGACATATTTAAATGAGGAAAAGAAAAAAGTAAGTATATGTCAGCTCCAACAAGAAAAAACAGAACAGTCTTACTTTTTCCCACTATATTATAGGTTCCATCAGTGGCTAGAAAGACTGTTAACATTTTTCTTTTGCATTTCTTTATGTAACACCCTTACTACAGTATCATGTAAAATAGGGGCATAAACATATATTGTTTATTTAAAACTAAGCATTTAGTTACAATCCAGGGAATACTGTAGAAAGTTGGTAAATTGATCCCTGGGGCCATGGAAACCAGATTTTTTTGTTGTTGTTCCCATCATACTCATTTCCAAACCCTGTGGGGGTTTACAAGTTGGGTTTCAGGTGTCCTGAACCGTTCAAACTCCAATTAACTTGCATTGTTCTATTGGTTTTCATTCAAGCCTGTGTTGCTCATCTCCAGCGAGAAGAAAACCAACTGAGGAAGTGAGGCTAAAGAAAGTAGTGGCTGGGAATTTGTTACACACACACACACACACACACACACACACACCCCCCAACCAACCAACCAACCAACCAAAAAAGCAAGCAAACAGGTTTCCACGTGCAGGTTAAAACATCCTAAGCTTCTTTGACTCTTAGAAGCAGAATCTCTGATAACCTCCCAGTGCCTGGGCTCAGGGGTAACAACAAAGGTGGACACCCATCCCATGGATTTGACAGAATCAGGGATCCTGCTTGGCAGGCCCACTAGATGCAAACGGATTTTTAGAGCACACATCCAGGGACTGGAGAGGGACTTAGGCTGGTTTTCTTTACTGCCACCCTGTCCCTTTCTTCTGCCCTGTATACACTTTTTCTCATGTCTATCCCATAAAGTCAACTGCAAAGCTGTTGAAAAAGGATTTTCTTTTGCTCCCATCAGACACTTGGTCGTCCTTAACCACAGTCAGCTTTACTTAAACCAGGCTGGCTTCAAGAGGGAAGGTGGGAGTGGCGGGGCGGGGGGGGCTGAAAAAGGGGGAGAAAGGGTTAAACAGCATGCAGACAGTAGGTAGGCAACTTGAAAGTTTTTACAGTGGGAGATGCTGACTCCGTGGCAGCAAATCAAACAGGTACTGTAAAGAGGACCTAGACCTGAGTGAATCATGAGTAATAATCTTTGAGTGGAACGAATACACCTGGGTAGGCACTTTAGCAAGGCTTAAACAGTGTGGCCTGTGTGCCTTCTCGAGTGTTCATTACATTTCTTTTATAGAGATCCCCTTACATTAAAAATTATTTTATATGCATGCAAGTTTATGATCTTTTCCATACATGCTCTGATGTTATGATTTATAAATATATGATGATTCAGATGACCAAAATATATTTCTCATAGATGCTTGGTCTTCATTCACAGTTGTTGTGGAGCACTTTCCCAAACTGTTGAAATTTCCTAAGTCTTGAGAACTCTAAATATGTCTATTGCTATGTTGATGAGGGGACTTTTAGAAAGCATCTGAGGTTGGCCCTGGTTGCCAGTGGAGCCAATTAGGGGATTTCAGTCCCACGCCCTGACCTCCAGAGCTGGAGTTCAGGCATCATTGGCCAATGATTTAGTGAATCTGGCCTACATTAGGTAGTGAAGCCTCCGTAAAAACTCCCAGGTTCAGAGCACTTCCGGGTTTGAGTTTGTTGTGCTTCCAGGAGAAGGGCAAGTACGGAGGGTCCTTTCCCTCCAGCTTGCTCTGTACATCTCTTCCACCTGGCTGTTTCTGAGTTATGTCTTCGACAATAAACCCATGGCCTAGTGAGTAAAATGTTTTCTTCATTGTTTGAGCTACTCTAGCAAATGAATCAAATCCTAGGCCGTGGTCATGGGAAGCTCCAAGCTAGAGCTGGTCGGTCAGAAGTCCAAGCAATGACCTGGAATTGTGACTGGTATATCCTGAGTTAGAAAGGGTTTTGGAACCTCCAGCTCTGTAGATGGTTGGTCAGAAACACAGGTTACAACCTGGGCTTGTGGTTGGTGTGGGTGGACTCTGACTTATCCCTTGGTAGATAGGATCAGAATGGAGTTGAATTGTAATGCACCCAGCAAAGCCTGGAGCCTTGCTTGGTGGTGGGGGTGGGGCAGGGTGAAGTGGGGTGGTGGAGAAGCCCCTCCCCCTCACAAATTAGAATTGGAATCTGGACACGTTTACATGCCAGTGCTCAGATAATGGCAAGAATGGTATCCTTGCTTACTGGGCCTACATACTTGGTGTTGGACTAAGCATTTTACTTGCCTTATCTCAGTGTATTTTCACAGTGATTCTTTAAGATAATGTGCTCTTAGGATGCTTATATGTGACATATACAATCCTCTCATTTAAGAAAACTTAGGATGACTTGCTCAGTGTCACATGTTAACCACTAAGTGGAGGCATAGTGGGGACTCAATCTTAAGATGTCTAGTTCCAATACCATTTTTTTAATCTTTACCCAGCACTGCTCGGGGCACATCTGAAGACCTACTTTATCTAAACATCAGATTTTTCAGTTTAATGAGGAGATTGGATGATATCATCTCCCAGATCTGAAATGATCTGATAAATAAAGCCCTGCTAACTTAGCAGGAAAGGGGAATGCTCCTGAGCCCTTTCCCATCAGCTTATTGAAAACCCTGACAATTCCAAGATGTGGGAGAGCAGCAGGCAGTTCTCATCTTCATTAAGTGGGGGTTCAAGATCTATAACCAGCTCTTAATCTTGTGGTTAGAACTCCAGATGTATTTGAATACATGAATTCCTCATGTATTTAGTAGATCTTAGAATGTCTGACGTGCTATCTCAGGAAAAGAACCCCTCTCTAGATTCCGTATATCAGCTACAAACCCTGTCTTTCTGTGCCCCTTCTAATAGGAAACTCCTATGTGTTCTCAACTTGCTTTCACTCTTGTCTCCAGTTTATTTCTCAGCCTACTTTAATTGGACTTTGACCCCATCCATCCAAAGAAATCTCCCTCCTCAAGATTATCCACAGCCTCCTTGATGTTCTTCATCTGGCCAGCCCTGAAAACAGACTGTAGTACCTTGAGACAGAAGAAAAGGTAAGAAAAAACAGAATCTACATATCAAAACAATGCTTTGTGAACCATCTTTACTGAAACTCCTAAGCTAAGTGCAAAGGAAATACACATCATAAAACACACAATCCTTTAAACAGATATACATTATTTTCCATAAACTCTTTTTTTAATGTATATATATTTTTAAATTTGACAGAGAGATCACAAGTAGGCAGAGAGGCAGGCGAAAAGAGAGGGGGAAGCAGGCTCCCTGCTAAGCAGAGAGCCCAATGTGGGGCTGGATCCCAGGACCCTAGGATCCTGACCTGAGCTGAAGGCAGGGGCTCAACCCACTGAACCACCCAGGCGCCCCTCCATAAACTCTTAATACTACAGAAGTTTCTTTGCCTTACTACACTATGTTAAAGAAAATGGGTTGTTTAAATTTTATTTAAACAAATGCACCCTTCAGTTTCACTATTGCTATGTATTATTCTAACATTTCCTGAAGTTAGCTTATACAGCCTCGATAAATTTAAACAAGATTCCAACATTTTGTAGCTATGGAGCTCATCTAAATTGCCTTCTTTCCTCATACTCAGGAAGGAAAACAGATTAGAGGGTTAATGACTGACCTGTGGTAACACAGCTGGTTTTGGTAGACCTGGGACTAGAAGCCAAGTTTCAGAGTTGAGAGCCAGAGTCCCTCAGTAATACCATGGTCCTTCGATACATTTCAAAACAGGAGTAGATTTGACAATGGGATATGCCTTTTATAAGTCAATAAGTGATAACAAGATAATAATCAAAAAGGAGAAATGAGAATCTCTCCTCCCTAACTCCCCTATTCCTAACCCAGTGTATGTTTTGGCTACTTGGGAGGTAGTCCCAAGTCATTTTTTAGTTAACTATGGTAATTGGGTTTGCAAATGTTTTACCATTTTAAAAATGAGATTAACTCAAGGTTATACCATTAATAACCACTTTTATTCAATTGCATCCTGATAGGTCTCATGAGTAGCTAGCAAATAAATGGGAGGCGTAGTTAAAGCTGGTGTACCAGGAAGTTGGCCTAACATGTAGCATGTTGTAGTGATGCCTGGCCTGCCATTTGTCTTCCCTAGTGGAAATGGAATGTGCACTTGGCATTGTCATCATTATGTTCCCCAAAGCAGTGGTTTATTGATGGACAAGAGGCAGCTTAGATGTTTCTTAAGAGAAATTCTCACATTGCTTAGCTTTTCTTAATAGTAAGCACATTGAACATTGGCAAAGAATTCTTCTGCAACAGGAAAGTTTGGAAACAAATTTTCCTAAAAGCTCTTGGTTGGAGGACCAGTAAGGGGCATTGCTTTTCAAACAAATCCCATTCATATGGCCATGAGCCAGATGAGCCAGCTACTGGCAGATTGGACCACACTGGTAAGATGAAGAGGTGTCTTCTCTGGACTGAAGACATTAGTTGTATAAGTAACACTGAGCTTTTCTTATTCACTTGAAACATGGTACTAGGCTTAAAATGGGGTTGGTGTATCTTGACCAAAATCTTGTTTTAGGTTCTGAAATTAACAACATGAAGAAAGGGAGAAACTACCCTCCTTCTATTCCCTGAAGGCCAGAACAACAGGTGTGCCTATTTTCAGAGGTAAGTGAAATATTTGCCAAATCATTTGGCACATATCAACTCAAAATGTGCCAAATTACCTGTCAAGGCTGAACAGCCTTTTTAAAAGAAAGATAAATGTCCTTCCATACACATTTGCATGGATCCACAGTGCCATCCAGTGGCTCATTATTTCGGTCACAAGTGTGCTGGGTTCCATTTGTCTCCTAGGGTTTCTATCCAAGCTGACCACCCTTGCCTTGGCATTGGTTCCTTTGATACCCAGAGACTTTGGGTCTTGGTAAAGCACAATGGATGCATTTAAAATGAGGTGGGTTGGAGGAGAGTTGCTGTCAGGTTTGGATAGCATGTCTATGGTATCCTGATTAGGAGTTGCCTATAGGGTTTTCTAAGCAGTAAATGTCCAAGTACCTTCTTCCATTGAATCAACACCAAGAGACACCTACTTAACAACCCCAGATCTTTGTGTTTAGTCTGTAGCCTTGCTAACCTTAAGGGTACTGGGCCAGCTAGAGTTTGGCAACCTATTCCATTATAGTTCTGGTCTTGGTAAACAGTCTTGAGTTAAGCTTTTAATCATGTCCAATTTTCTTTTAAAATGCCTTTTTTAAAACATTGAATTTGTCTTTAAAAAGAATACAAGGAGTCCTAGACTATAGAAGCTGATGAAAAGTAGATGAAGGGGAAGGAAGGTAGCAAGTGCTGAAGGGAGGAAGAGCAAAGGGAGAGAGGAGACAGTTTTGATTATCTTCTGTTCGGACAACTCCGAAGTCACACTGACACTGCCTTTTCTAACATCAGTTTCTAGAAACTGGACAGCAAACAGGGATTTTGAAGAGCAGTAGATCACATGGTGACAATAGCAGCTGTTTATTACCATAAAGAGAGCTCTCACTGAAGAAACAAGAACCTGAGTGGGAACTGTTGATCAATACAAATAGGTTGATTCTCTTCCCATTGGCTTTCCTGGCATCTGCCCACAATTGACAGAGACTTGTAATGTGGTTCAGCTTCAAAATCTCTAAACCTGTCAGGCCAGATTTAGATGTTTCAGTTTTCCCTTCTATAACTTTTGAAAAAGATCCCATGAAGAAAACGTGAGCTGCTCTAATGACCAGGCTATTTCCTTCCCAAATAAATTTAATGCACATGGTCCCAATCACAGTAGACCTAGGCAAGCCATAGCCACTGGAGGTTATGCCCTCGATTTCTCACTCACTATTCAATCTTTCTTGGCTTTAATACATTGTATGAAATAGCCAGAAATGAAGGATTCTTAGAAATCATCATCAAGGCTAATAGCCCCAATTTAAAATTGAGGCCCATTTCCCAGTTGGCATCTTCTAAGCAAGTACAAGTTTTTGGCCTAGAGTAAGAAGACCTAATAGAAAACGAGTCAGTTACTTTGACATTTTTGACAATAAAGAAATAACCCAAAACTTGGTATCACCAAATAACATAATCTGAGTTTGGTGGAAAAAGTAAGAATAGTGTAATTACATAGGTTTCCCATCTTGCTCCATTCCGGGAGCGGGTATGGAATTTTCGGTGACAAAGGAAAGCACTTTGCCATTTGCGTTGTGGAAATGTGAGGTTCCGGGTTGCCTAGCTCTGGTGTCTTTGGTGCCCATGGTGACATAGACTGACTCATTTGGACTTTGAATCCTTGTAGTGGGGAAAATCGCGGTTTTCTGGATTGTTGCATCTGAGCTGGAGAAAGCCTTTTTTTAAAAAGTTGAGTATAGTTTCTGGTCAAAGACTTGGGAGAAAGATAATATATGAATGTTTTCTGAGGGGCAGAACCTCAGTTGGGAATTGGTGTAGGAAAATGTTTTAAGGAGCCACGATTAGGCCACTGGCTGCCAAGAATACCTTGGGTGGCAGGTTGCAAGTGATTCCATGGTGGAAGAAGTTTTCCTGAAGCATCATCCACAGGAGAGAATGATTCTGGTTAGCAGAAACTAAGGAGGGGGCCCTTAAAGTGACAATCGAGACCTTGTAATTCTACTCTAGAGTCTTTGGACATACCTAGACACATAAAGATTCCTGGATTACAAATAACAAGTACCACTCTAACCAGCTCAGACTAAACAAAAACAAACCAGAAGACCATTCATGGTTGATAGATGTCATCTGGCAATCACAGATACCCATGGGCATAAAGTAAACCCTAGCTGGTCTTCATGGTATCTGAAGCTTGGGATCCAAGAGTCAGGAACTGAGGTCCTGAGATATCTTACCCTGTTTTTCCCAATCAGTACATATTTATGGAAATCTTTCTGTGAATCAAACATTAGAGTTCCATTCCTATAGAATCTGGTGTTGTAGCTTGTCTCTCTTTTTCCTACCTCTGTACACCTCACTGCCATCTGCCATCTGTTCAGTTCTAAACAAATGAACTTCCCTGGTTTACTCTTAATTTCAGATCTCCTATAACTTCAGCAGGAATGGCGTTCAGCTTGCTGTGTTACAGAATGTATTTCTGATTGTTAATGATCTTTCAGTTTGTAGAGTGTACCAACTAAAACCTTATAATTACCCATTACATGGATTAGCTGGCTTTGGAATAGAGGTCATCCCTGATCCAAGTTATCAGGTACAAATGTGGTAGTCCAGGGTGATCTCTTGGTCCAGAGTCATTAATGGATGCAGTTATCATGGGATCATTAACAGAGAAAGTTCTTAGAAAAATGGTCTGTTGTTGAGACAGGAAACCCCCAAATACATCTATGTGTAGATGACTTATTTTGTTTCTCTGCATTTATACATGCTTGCTTTGCTAAACTTTAGAATATGTCCCCAGTTAAATCTTTCTTTGGTATCACCAATTTCAAGACGATAGGATCAATTTCTGCCAAAATTTCTGTCCTTTTCATGTCACTAGCCCAGTCTTCGTTGGTCAAAATCGGGAGTTAAGTAGAAATTTTCCTTTTTGCTGCCTCTAACTTCTAAACTATGAAATTATCTATAAGACAGGGGAACAGTTGACCAGGTAGGTCCTCTGGTTTTAGCAGAATGACACTTCTGGCATCTGTCCAGCTAGAGTAAGAAGGGTTTGAGCCATCTTCAGCATGTGACCAATTAGAGGAAAATATCATCCATATTGTAGCCTGAGATTTTAGGAGTCTGTGCCTAGTTTTGGAGTTATGGCAGTGGTATGACAATCAAGATAATACTTTGGTTTCTCCTTCCTCTTATTCTGTGGGAAATGTTTTTTGGGTTAAAATTGACTAAGTGTCAATTTTTGCATTGAGAACTATGCAGAAGGTCTGGTAATGTGTTCAGCCTTTATTTATTTATTTATTTTTATTTATTTGACAGAGATCACAAGTAGGCAAAGAGGCAGGCAGAGAGAGAAGAGGAAGCAGGCTCCCCACCAAGTAGAGATCCCAATGTGGGGCTCCATCCCAGGACCCTAAGATCATGACCCAAGCCGAAGGCAGAGACCCAACCCACTGAGCCACCCAGGCACCCCAATGTGTTCAGCCTTCAGATGCCATACTCAGGACAAGCCTCTGTAAGCATGAGTAGTATGTACATCTTGTTGGTTATATGAAGGCTGAACTAGGTCATTCTGAAATGAAAGTAGACCACATTTAGGAAGTAGAATCACAGACAACTGCCATCAAACTCTTCAATATTAGGGATCTTCTATTTCAAATTCACAAATACAGTCGCACAGACATCCACCATGACAATCAGCTTGTCACAGTGATACAGCTGTTAGACATCTGTCTGATTCCTGGCAGAATAATTTTCTTCATCAGATTTGTCAGAATGGGAAATCATCTGTTGCTCCTGACAGCAGAGCCTGCCTTCGCACAGAAAAGTATAGGATCACCAGAAGACCATTAAGAATTTGAGCAAGTTTAGGACATTGGAAACAAATTATTTGTCCTGCCGATATCTTTATTCTTTGAACAGACAAGTTTCCAGAGGACTGAATTGAAAAGCTTTTCCTATAAAGTGTGTGCTTCAAAATACCTGCTTTTACTCAAAAGGATAGAATTTATTTTGCTTACAATTTTATCAGTCATAACTGACAGTTGTTTAAAAAGATCTTTACAAATAGCTCCTACATGAATGATCTCATTGAGTCTCCACAATAATCCTATGAGATAGTTAGAGCCCTTCTTATTGCTGTGATTGAGTGTATGAAGATACTGAAATACTTAAAAAATCAATGACTTTCTCAAAGTCTTATGCCTTATTAGTAAGCAAAGTGATTATAACTCCTTCCAGGTCTTCTGACTCCACACATAATACTTCAACACAGTATTGCATTTTCTTTCCTTTAACATTGAGTAAAATCCCATCTAATAGTTCCTTTGATCTGAAATGGCTGCTCCAGCTCCTGTCTTCTCATTTGCTTTACACCCATAAAAGCAAGTTAGATCTGCTTACTTTCCATTGGTTAAAATTTTGCCACTTGGCTGCACACAGCAGTTAGGTTACCCATATAATGTACCTTTTTTTTTTTTTGGTATGGACAACCATGTGTCCTGCCAAAATTTAGGAGGAATCTATTAGAAGAAGAAAAAAATAAATTTGAGGAAGAAATTAAGAGTCTGCTACATAGTATCCAGAGAGAATGCCAAGCAAAAATGGCCCCATGGTGAGTCTCATCTGGTGTGATAGAATTTTAAGAGTAATGTTTTCTGGGGTTGATATGGGGTCTTCTATAGGACTCCCAGAAAGTCACCAGGCAGTTGTTTTCATGAATCACTCAGTTTACAAAGAATTCTAGTATACACAATTGTATAGCAGGTTGGAATTGACAGATTTACATCCCAGACATTTCATAAACATTTAAGCGAAGTGAGTCATCTGATTTTAATATAAACTGAACAGGCTTACATTACAGTGGGAGGGCAGGGCCATGTGAAGAAGTGGTTGTTGTGCCCACATCCATTTCAGAACAAAATCAGGAGCTTTAGTTCTTAAATTTTTTTTTGCACCTCTAATCTCCTGTTCCCTGAAAACACTAGAGTT